TGCCGTTCCTCTTTAATTTTCTCTAATTCAGCCAAGATTTGAGTCTTTTCAGAACTGATTGAGCTATTATTATTTTCAAGTTCCTCAATTTTCATACGAAAATTTATAAGATCCGTTGACATTTTAAGATTTTTTTGAACTGAATTTTTATGTTTTTTGTTAAGCTCATCGTATGATATCGTTTCAGTTGTATTATCTGTATTATCTATTAAATCTGTGTTGTTTTCAGAAGGTTTATCGTCTAGAGAAACATCAACAAGACTGGTGTCTTCTTCAATTTTTGTTTCAGCTATGGGTTCCAGACTTTGTTCCATTTTTATCTTAATTATCTATAATAATTTAATGATTTATTTTGATATTTTTTTTTTTATTCAAATACAATTTATTAAATTTTTATAGACCGCCCAGTAAATCTTTGAAATTTAATTTTAAGTTTTTTTTGTTTCTATATATATATTTCTAGGATAAATGAAAAATTTCAAAATTTTTTTTTTATGGTTAAAAGGTTGAAAGCCGGTTACTTTTTAACCAATTAATTGTCTTTGTAAGACTAAATAAAGAAATGAAATAAATTCACCGATTGGAAATGTAATCAATAGTTCATGCTGTATCACGTTAGTGATCAATAAACATTAACACCTAGCATGTTAGTATTGTACAAACTATTGTATTTGGGGATCTTAACGGCTTTATCCGGTTTATATATATCTATTAGGTGGCATTCCATAATTTACGTTAAACCAGCTGTCTTGTAAAAAAAAAAAAAATAGGGATCTTGAAAATAATGCCATACGTTATTATTTTTGTATTATTTTTAAAATTCCTATAACGATACTGGTTTAACGTAAATTATGGATGTTACTTTATTATAAAAACCGATTAATGAATACGTAGAGTCGATTGTATCCCTAATTGTATTAGATTGTTAACTTTTTGAAATGATTTTCATGACGATGAAAAATATAAATGTCACTTTGTGATTTGCAAAGCATAATATTATAAAAGCATAATATTATGCTAATAAAAATTATAATATGCAAATACAAGAAAAAAAAGGATTTAGGATCTTTGCTAGGAAAATCACCCTTCGCCTAGTGATGGCACCCGATCGAAAAAATGCTACCCGGTTATCTGACGGGTATGCACAGCGGGTTACCCGGGTGATCAACAGATATATCCGGGTATAAAATCCTACCCGATATACCCGGGTAAGGTTAATAAATACTTTTACTTTACTAGATAGCTGCGCGAGGAACAGAAAATAATAATAGCTCAATCAGTTCTGAAAAGACTCAAATCTTGGCTGAATTAGAGAAAATTAAAGAGGAACGGCA